CCTTTGTACAAATATAGAAAAAGCAGGAATGGTAGTAACTTAAATCAGGCTAATATTACACTAAATTTTTCAACAGGTTTTGTTTTGCAACCAGCGATTTCGGCCCGTTGCAAAGGATTTACATATTCTCAGATTTTGCGTTTACAGCATTGAGTTGTACAATCTACTATATACTGTTTGGAGTAAATTTAGTAAGGAAGTAGAATAAATTATGTCCGTCATTTGTGGCCATGCTTGGTCAGTAAAACTACTTTACAGCACCTTTTATAAAACATTAACAGAGGTTTGGATAGTATATTTTAAAAAAATGACCAAGTATTTAGTCGTATGAAAACAATATATATATATATATATATATATATATATATATATATATATATATATATATATATATATATATATATATATAAATATATATATATATATATATATATATATATATATATATATATATATATATATATATATATGTTGAAGATGGCAAAATCCCAAAGTTTTAATTAACCGGTGCCCGAAAAAAGTTAGCCATATTTTCTTATTTGCGTGAGTTTGCTAGTTTGTTACGCTCGGTTACTTTGTTCGCAATCATATAAGCCTTGGTACTTATTCAAAAATTATATGTGTTAACTTTGAGTTTGTGATGCACTTATTGGGACCGCTCATTATTTATTGTACAGGCGGGATTGAGGCGAAACGGGGGGGAGGGGCCTTTAATTTTTTTAAACCTGAAAGGGGGCTTTGAAAAAATACAGAGTGACGAAAGAAGGGGGGCTTTGAAAAGATTTACTAGTTTGAAAAACATTATTATTTAGTAGTTTTAAAAATGTACCACAAAACATCTTAACAACAAATAACAATGTTTATAGACCTTTAATATAAATATTCATAAATGGAAGCCAAATAAATAGTCTCTTATGTTCATGTAAATAGACTAGTTTTAAAACTAGGCAAAGAGATGCAAATAAATCACCACAGCTAGAAAGAGCTTACTAAAATGAGTAAAATTGCAAAGTTTGGTTGCGAAATGTTGTAAAATACGGAAAATATAGCCTTCCAAAGTTTGCAAATTTGTTATAATTTTGTTTTGTATACAAAAGTATACAAAATTTGCAAATTTGGAAGGCTATATTTTCCACATTTTCCAATATTTCGCAACCAAAATTTGCAGTTTTACTAATTTTAGTATGCTCTTTCCGGGAATATACTTTTAAAGATAAAAATTAGTCTATAATGGGAATTGTCTATTAGTCCCCATTATCTATTTTTGTTTCTCTAAATAAAGAGCTAGAGTCGGGGGGGAAGGCACCAAAATTTATGTTTTTGTTTTGCCTGTTGGAGGGGGCTTTGAAAATTCTACTTGTCTTAAGAGGGGACAACGAAAAAATATTATAACTGTAGAGTTTCTCCTCAGTCCCCCCTGTACAATAAATAATGAGCAGTCCCTTAGTTTGCGTATACTTTGTCTGGTTTACCTTTGGCTCTTGAATGGCAGGTTTGTTCAAGAAAATCTCGATGCTTTCAGAATTTTGTTGTGTGCATGTTCCTGCTGACAAATCACATGTGTATCCCTCAGGGCAACAATGCTCATGATCTTTACAACATTCAGCATTTGGTAGAGGACAACATGCCCATTCACCGTCTTCCGTTTTACAGCATGTACTACCATCTGGACAAGACGATCCGCCGCCACATGGGACATCGTTAATCTGAAAAGTATTATTAATTCAATGTTTATCTTTCATTGATTTTGGAAGTACACTGCAAAAGCCGTGGACAGCTCAGCAAATACATTGTTATTCTCAAATCAAATATAGTTGTAAAATGTAAATTCGAAGGCGGATTAGTGCCACACCATGACATCACGGGCTTTTGTTATTGTTTTGATCTTACCTGAAATCAACAAATAACGATAAAAAATGGTGCATTTCCAATACGAAACAGATAAAAGAATCAATGCTACAGTTAAATTGACATGTAGATGGAAATTATCGAGTGGAAATTTATATACATTTATTATAGACATAACCAGGAACAGCTGCGAAAAATGCAACTTTAGATGATCCCTGGCAGGAATCGAACCTGCGTCCCTGTGATTCTGATGCAGCGCTCTAACCAACTGAGTTGCATGTTATATACATGAACTTGTGGTTAGAGCTCGACAACTGACCTCTGTAGCTCAGTTGGTTAGAGCGATGCTCCGAAATCGCAGGGCCGCAGGTTCGATTCCTGCCTGGGACCTAAAGTTGCATTTTTCGCTGCTGTTCCTGGTTAGGTCTAGGAGACTCTTCAACTGTTTATCAATCGAGTGAGATGCTAACAAAATCTTAATGCTACAGTTAAACGTTTAACAGTATGTTTACGTGTTTCTGTTCTTACAGATTAGATGAATCCGAAATACTTTATGTACTGTTTAATAAACGAGTAGGAGTGTTTTATCACATATAAAACACGACACGTAGAGGAGTGTTTTATATGTGATAAAACACAAACTTCAAAAACGTCTCAGTTAGATCACGGCATTGGCGAAATAATTTTCCAAAATAACTTTGTATTAGCTGAGAAAATACAAGTTGAAATTTGAAGCGTGTTTTATCACATATAAAGACACGCCAGCCTAGTCCCAGTCGTTCTGAAGCAAGCGCGAGAAAAAAGTGGATGTAGTACGAGACTGGGACCTAGGTGTGACGTCACCGCTCAAGGTGCTTCAGAACGCCTAGCAGATTTCAGTATTTTTAATATGGCGGAAAATTTATATATACACGTAACCTTTTAATTATAAATACGACAATGTTTGTTCATCATGTACATGTTCGATGTCTACATAACCAAATCAAACCGTATTAAAAATGTGCTCAACTAAAAAAATTTATATACAAATTTACGATACCGATTTGAGCAATCGTTGATGTTATTTATGTACTCGCAAGTTGTGATCAACACTAGACCATACTGGTATACACAACTACGCTTTCTACTTGACAGGTTTAAATTGCTGAGGAGATTCAAAATATTTGCCTGACATGACGGTGTTGTCAAAACATTCTTAGCCGGAGACTCGGCATAATTTTCAAGCTTCTAGATAGCATTTAATATGGCTATACATTTTAGTAAACACGAGCTCGAGTCATATTTAATTTAACTCATTGTTCCGACAGCATTAGAGCAAAACTAATGACTTAATTATAAATGCAAAGGAAATTTCCATAACATTTTCCATTTACAAATGAGGTATGCTTGGTAACCAGGCCAGGGACCACTTTTTTTAAATCAGGGACCATTTTACCGAAATCTGCTAGGCTCTCTCGCTGAAGCGTTCCGCACAGCACACCCAGGCATAAAACTTTTAAGACTTATTTAAATATATCAAAGCAGCGAATAGAGAGAGAGCCTTGGACTAGGCTGAAGACACGCCACGCTTATGATTTCTCTTTGTGTTTTCCTCATGAATTATTAATGAGTTTTTGAAATACTTTTAAATGTTTAACTAGAAAAGCTTTTGAAATTTACAAAATCTTGCAAAACTACAATAGTCAATATATTTGTAAGAAATGATTGTTATTTCGCTGCCGTCATGCAGTCGTTATAATATGGTCGTGAGATCAGTGAGGATGACCACCAATGAACGGTGAACCATAGCCATGCCCCCGCGGTCATTGGAATATATGGATCATTGGAGAATAAAGACACGCCATGATTCATCATCAAAATGTTGACTCCATGGGCCTATCCAGTGCGCTTATGAGAGGCACTACCCTCCTCGACGTCCGCCATTTTGAATATTTTCAGGGGGGTGAATGCCTCTCAAACGCGCACTGGCTAGGCCCATAGCGTCAGCATTTTGATGACGAATTACGGTTACGCCAAAATCATTGGGAAATCATAGGAAAAACCAAAAAGTCGGGCTACTGTGTAGTCTATTGGGCCATTCCATTTAATATAGGCACCCCCCCCCCCTATTGAGGGGTCCCTTCATAATCCCCTTAGGATATAAAAATTTTAGAACCCCCTTGGATGTGATTTTTGGAAGTTACCCCATGGATATCTTTATACCCCCTTTAGGATACCGTTTTAACCCCCTTGGATATCACTAAAACACCCAATTTTTGCTATTTTTTTTGAAAATTTCTTAAGCTAACCTCTAGGAAAATTTAAGGTAACCCCCCCCCCCTAGGATATCCAGACCCCTCAATAGGGGGAGCTTATATTAAATGGAATGGCCCATTCTGTGCTTTAGACTTTGCTAGTGCGTTCCTTTCCCCGAGTGTAAATAGCCGGGCGGAATTAGTACCCTCGCTCGGGGCTTACGCCAGGAACGGCGCGTTGCGTTGGCTCTGGGATAACTGTTGCAAATATATTTTCCACTATTTGTTTTGAGAATAACTGTCACAGTGTATATTTAAAGTAATATTCTAATCGCCCTTAGAATTTTTCATTATTTTGTAATTTAAAATTTGCATGATTTAAAACGAACCGTTTTATCATAGGCAGCCCAGCAAATATATGTATTCACTTAAAATGCGTTAAGAACACTTAAAAAAGCGCATACAATTCGCCTGTCTTTGCTATCTAGCAATAATATTGTGTAAGTGATATAGTATACTATCCTATATTATATTAAATAATTATTGAAAGAGGTTGAGCATGATATCGAGATATTTCTAGCTTCGGCGTAGAACAACTTCAAAATCGCTGCCAGCTCGACGGCGTTTGTCGGATTTTCGTGTAGATACTTTTAAAACTATCCTCGAAAATACTTTTTACTATCCTCGAAAATACTTTTAAACAGTTTTCTTGCTCTCTTCGTGCTTTTGCTATCTTTCTCTGAGATCGACGTCGAAATTTCTTCATCGTTTAACGATGGAAACCGGCTAAAAGCCATTTTGTTTACTCTTCAAAAATATTTAGTTTTGGTGGGATTTCTAGCAAGCTGCGGACCCCTGGGGCTTGGGTTCGACAGCGTGCAATGATACCTTGTTTTGGATCGAAGTTCGATCCAAAACAAGGTATCATTGCACGCTGATCACGTCAGCAGCTGAAATAACGCGTCAGCTTCTAGATACGGAGAATTATCAGGGGCATTTTGACCAATCACGAACGAGAATAAAGTTTGAATATATAATAAAGGATATTATTATTAGGATATTATACTATATGACAATACAATGACGTAACCATGCGAGTCTGCATACATAATGAGCTACACAATATTATCACAAGATAGTAAAGTCAGGCAACTTTATGGGCATATTTAAGTTTTTTAAATGCATTTTTAGTGAATATACATATATTTGCTAGGCTGCCTATGGTTTTATTAGTAATTACGCAACTATGTAAATTAATTAAACTTGGGAGGGTCGAGGGGAGTCAAGGGGCTCCGCGCTGATAATATACCACGGGCCCCGCGAAACGTTAATCCGGCCCTGACTATTACATTTGTTCCAAATGAATTAATTCTTCACTGTGGTTATTCGTCCGTATTTAGCCGTTATCAACCTTGTTCCCAACCTCTTCTCTCTTGTGAAAGTAAGACCCTGGCTGCGCCTGGTCACGTGGCTCTTTGAAAATTTAGTGCCTGAGGGGGCGAGGGGAAAGTATCAAACTACACGCTTCCACTTCCGTGAGGAAACGTGTTGGCCATGGCATTTAGGACAATGAATGGCTAGCTAGGGTACATATTATGGTGCGCGGGAAAGGTTAATGAAGAAATTAATATGTATATTGTAAATGAAGAAATCATGCAACGCATAGTAAAGGGCATACAACTTCAACATCCAGCCACCTAAAACTTATTGCCCACCTGAATCGCGGGTTTCTTCTTGAATAGCTTAGTTACATGAGATCCACTCTGGCAAGTACCAGATGATGTACAGGTGGTGCCATGCGGGCAACAATGAACACGATCTGGACAACAAACAGCATTTAGTAGAGGACAACATCCCCATTGACCACTCTCCAACTTACAGCATGTGTTGCCATCTGGGCAATAAGCTGTTCCACCTGGGCAAACTACAATCTTCACCTAAACAATGCACGAAATCGATTAATATTTAAAAAAATGTTAATGGATACTTAAAATTGCGGATTTTAATGCATCTGTCATCATCTGAAGAACATTTGTTCTTCCAAACATTCGACAGCTTCTGCTTGAAAAATGTGTCCGATTTTTTTTCTTTTACCGACGTTTAGCCTGAGCATCAGGCCAGTGCATATTTTCCTTCCTAAAATGCGGATGGATGGAAGAGAAGAGTATGAAAAGACTGGTATATAGTGACGATATACTTACAAAGCTGCGGATTGATAGGGATTAAACTAACTGAAAACTACAAGTAGAACTTCAACGTTTCTAGTAAAGGCCCTTTTTAGGGGAGTAGTTAGTAGCGTGGGTCAGGAAAATTACATAAGCTTTTATACTAGTGAATATAGACGAGATCACGTAACAACAAATAAACCAATCAGATGGATTTAGCCAAAACAGTATTAAGTGTAAACAAAATATTCAACTGATCACATTACAGAATATATTAATACAAATAATTAATATATTACAGATATTCAGAAAACTATAACAAATGCAAGTAATATATGGAACAAGTATGAATGGAATAAGGTGAGAATTTAAAGTACTGTCAGTCTGTCAATGCCTGCTTTTTTCAGGGAGAGCAGAACTTTTGCATTCCTGGTTACTTTAATCAAACTATGGTAGGAAGTGAGATAAAATAATCGGGAAATTTAACCAGGAATATCAAGTTTACTCAAATATTGTTATCTTTAGGTAACCAGGATGTTTTAAAGCCAGACATTTTTTAGAATGCGCAAATAAAATCTCAAAATGATCAACGTATGATATGCATTTCGCTAAATCACTGTATATTTCGACGTCTTGTTCGAAGATCGATGTTTATGCCTTGGGCGACGCCGCGACGCACTGTGGAAACGTAAAGAAAGACACCAATACATATAAAGGGCATACAACTCCAATACCCAGCCAATTACCCACCTGAATCGCGGGTTTCTTCTTGAATAACTGAGTCACATGAGATCCTTTCTGACATGATGCTGATGTACAGGTGTAACCATGTGGGCAACAATGACGATGATCTGAACAACAAACAGCATTTGGTATAGGACAACATCCCCATTGACCACTCGCCAATCTACAGCATGTGTTACCATCTGGGCAGTAGGCTGTTGCATTACATGCTACAACCTTTGCCTAAAATAATGCAAGTCATTGAATAAGTGATTTACAAGATTGCATTACATTGTCAAGTGATTTACAAGATTGCATTACAATTTCGAACCTTTGGCTGAATAACAATAATTTATAATATTCAATATTTATAGACCCAGAGCGTCGGGACACGGTTAAATATTATCCGAAAGTGATGATATTGCCACAGGGCGCAGTACCTAACTAAAACATTCAAAATGCAACAGTCCAAGCGCGAGCGATACGCGAACAATACAGACTTAAATTAATGACTTATGAAAACAAGGCCGCAAGTAATAAACCAGAAAATTCATAGGGATTTAACTATACACCAAACATATAAGTAAAACTTCGACATTTCGAGCGAAGCCCTTCGTCGGGAAGTTAGTAGCATTGGCGGGAAAATACATGCGCTTTTATCCCCGAGCCCACGGCACGAAGCACCGTTCTAGGCGTTAGCCCGGGGCGAGGGAACTAATTCCGCCCGGCTGTTTATACAGCCGGGGAAAGGAAAGCGACGTCTAAAGTTCATCAATAATCGCGGGCGCGTAACAATGGTTCATGGGTGGACCTCACTGATCTTAAAAATATTGCTGTTTGCCTGGAGTGGGATAAGCAAAATTTTAATTTTCAAAAACATATATTTGGAAAATTGTTCATGGAATGAGTTTTGAAGCAATTTTTGTTTGAAGAAATGAGAAGAATTTATTTTCTATGGGAAATCGTGAAATACGGCGCATGTTTGCTTTGAATGTTTAATTTAATGTTTATGAATTTTGCTTGCTTTAATTTCTTGCGTGAAACATGCACTGCTTTCCTTTTCCTTTTCAAAGAAGCTGTAAGTTTCCTATTTACCCAGTTTAATTTAAGAAAAAAAGGGTAAAATTTAAACTTATTTTGTTTTTTTATTAAGTAAAATTAGTTTATCGACAAAAGCAGTTTTAATAGTTCAATGAACATTTCAATGCATTTTACTATAAGCGATTCAGGTCGAATTAAAGGTGAAGTTAAATTAACTTAAAACAAATTAAAGCTCACAAAATGTCAAATAACATACCTATACAGTGCATATTTCGGAAATTAATTGTTGTGTAGTAAAAATTTAAAATTATAGTGTTGCCATAGCAAAATTGAACTAACCGCGAGCCAGATGCGTTCAGTGTTGGCCCAATGAAACTATTGTTGAAAAAATAAGATTACAACTCACTCAGGCCAAATGTAACTTTCATTTTTTTTTAAATTTTTTTAATCTTGTAAGCTGCTTTCAGAATGTCTTCGAGACACAGGCATGCAGTGTACAGTTCATATTTTTCCATGCGAATCAATAACATGTACATTTGACGTTTTTTTGTAATTTTTTTAAAAATAAACTTTCCTTCCATACTATAGTTGTCTTGATTTTTCATGGAGTAACCTATATATCGACGTTAAATCGATATATATCTAAGTTTTTCGCTTCTGGATATATAAAAACCATCGTTACGTTTACATATTTTCAAATTTTCCACACAAAAAAGGGAGAAAAACTGGTCGTTTTTTTCAATATACTTGTTTGTAGCTTTCGCTTTGGGCACAACATCTTAAAATACATACAAAATTGTTATAGATCGAAATAAGCAACAAGAAACAAGCCGTTAAAGTTAACTACACAATGGCATCTGAATTTGGCTTGACAAGAAGCTTTCGCTTGTTTTCCCGCGTTTATTCCCGTTTCCTAGCTAGGATACGAGGCCCCGATTGCGATTTATGAATAAGGCCTATCACAGGATATATTACGAAGAAAACAAGAAGAAATTAAGCTACGGAATAATACAAAAAATATATAAGTAATATGATGAAACAAGTGAGGAATAAAGTTAGGGAAGGACAACTATAACTAAACATATAAGGGGCGACACAGGCAAAAAAGTTTGAAAAAATAATCGTACAGTTTGGAAATGTCCCCACCAATCACTTTTCTAATGGTCCGTCCCTAAGAAAAAAAGTTCATTTATACCACATTGGCAAGTGAACAATTGACAAGCTTAGAAATGAGTCATTGCTACCAGAAATGGGACAGAGTGCTCGAATTTTCTTGTCTGAAACTCTGTGATTGCCATGACTATTAAAATGTCTGGTAACAGGTTGGGTGGCATCGTTACCAATGACAGCACGCCGATGTTTACCAAACCTTGTCCTCAAAAGTCTTCAGGTTTCTCCGATATATCAAGCAAGCCACATTTAGTGCACGAGATGCAGTAGATGAGATGGCATGCAGGAGGTGCACGTGAAATGGAACTTGACATGGCACTTAGATTTAGGTGCCGAAACGGCAGTAACGGATCTATGAATTCACAGGTTTTATATTGGGACAACCAACAACGAAACGTGCCATTACCTGACAACAAATCCTCGGGCTATTCTTTTTAGAATAAACATATTAGTAGGCTATCATATTTCGTGCGTTCTGATTGGCTACGCTACTAATAGGCTATTAGTGATAGCTTACTAGTAGCAACAAGCGGCGAAGGGTGCGAGAGTCAATTGCCGTTTTTAAGTATTAAAAGCTTCATTTCAAGAGAAAAAGCTTATCAAAATGGCCTATTTTGGTTCTGGACTACACACAAACAAAGACTTTTGGAAACTGCTGACATATACGATAAAATTTTAAAGTTGTTTTTTTCGTTTAAATGTCGAGATTTTGGTCGAGTTTGTTTTTCGCCTTTTTTGAGCCTTTTTAATCGAGTTTTTAAATTCGATTACATTTTAATCTAAACTTTTGAATATGTATACTAGATGATGGAAATGGTTTGTGTTGGACATTTACTGTTGACATTAATATTTTAGTTATATTTGCTCGGACAGGGAAAACTGGGAACGAACGAAAAGGGCGCAAAAATAGTTGTAGGACACGGAAATTTAGAGATAGAGTATATACATGTTATGAGTTTATATTATGCGAATTAAACTATAAGAAATAAAACTATCAAAAGTTAATGAAAGTGAGAAGCAAATAACATGGTGTCAGGAGTTTAAAAGAAACCAGCTCACATTATTGAAAATGACAGAAGAAGCGAACGGTAGCGAAGCAGAAAACACGCCGAACACAGCCTCGGCATGTCAACCATTATTGCCAGCGGGCTTGGCCATGCCTAAGCCATTAAAAACTGAAGGAAACCTTGCCTCAAACTGGAAGAAATTCAAGCGATCTTGGGATAACTATGCTATAGTGGCAAGACTTAACCGATTTGAAGATGAATTCAAAACAGCAACGTTTCTTTCGTGCATCGGCGAGGACGCAATGGAAATTTTTGAGGGCTTAGATTTTGCCTCGGAAGAAAACCGCACGAAATTTGACATTGTTGTAACCAAATTTAAAGAGTTATGCTTAGGTGAAACAAACGAAACCTATGAGAGATTCGTTTTCAACAGCAGACAAAAGAATGAAAACGAAACAGTCGACCAATACGTAACAGCACTGCGAACATTGGCACAATCTTGTAATTTCTGTAATTGTTTACGAGATTCTTTGATACGCGATCGCCTGGTCATAAGAATCAACGATAATGCAACTCAAAAAAAGCTATTGCAAGATCGAAAACTCACCTTGACAAAAGCCATCGACATATGTCGCAGTAGCGAGACCACGAAGAAACAAGTCAAGAAAATCCAGGCCAACAGCGAAGCAAATGAGGGCGAAATCAACGCCATTGTAAACAACAAAACCGAAACCGGAAGCACAGGAACCGGAAGCACAGGAACCGGAAGACGCGATGACAGGCGTATCGGACTTGATAGGCGTGACGGGGGGCGTGACAACAAAATTAAATGCAAATATTGTGGAACAGTGCACCAACGAAAAAAGGAATTATGTCCTGCATTTGGAAGCCGCTGCCGGAATTGTGGTCGCGAAAATCACTTCGCCAAAGTTTGTATGCAGAAAGGAAGATATTCCTGCCAAAAGCCACTTCACGCAGTAACTGAAAACGACTCAAGTGATTCAGGCGACTCGCTTATGACTGTCGAACTAGACCCCACCGAGAATGATACCATCAATACAATACACCAACCGAACATTTACAAATCACGGATTTTTGCTACCATGAAAATAAAAGGGGGGAACACAGCCAAATTTCAAATCGATACAGGGGCAACCTGCAATGTCCTAAAAAAGAGTGAATTAAAAGGCACTAAATACGAACGGCGCATCAAACCTACGGCACATGTTCTAAAGATGTACAACAACTCATCACTCAACAACTCATGACGCCGCTTTCACCCAAATAAAGAAATTGATCACAGAACCGCCAGTCCTCAAGTACTACGAGTCGACCAAACCCCTGATAATACAGTGTGACGCTAGCGACCACGGCCTGGGGGCCGCACTCATTCAAGAGGGAAAGCCTGTCGCATTTGCCAGCCGAGCATTGACGCACGCGGAGAAACAATACGCTCAGATAGAAAAGGAACTGTTAGCTATAGTTTATGGAATCGAGCGTTTTCACCAGTATACATATGGCCGACCAGTCACAGTAGAATCAGACCACAAGTCGCTCGAAGTCATTCATCAGAAACCTCTGTCAGCAGCACCTAGACGTCTTCAAAAGATGATGATG